ACAGAATTGAAAGTCTCAGTGGGGAAAGAGAGAAGTGGAGGTGTGTGCTGACAGAATAGAAAGTCTGAGTGGTGGAAAGAGAGAAGTGGAGGTGTGTGCTGACAGAATGGAAAGTCTGAGTGGGGGAAAGAGAGAAGTGGAGGTGTGTGCTGACAGAATGGAAAGTCTGAGTGGTGGAAAGAGAGAAGTGGAGGTGTGTGCTGACAGAATGGAGTGTATGAGTGGTGGAAAGAGAGAAGTGGATGTGTGTGCTGACAGAATTGAAAGTCTCAGTGGGGAAAGAGAGAAGTGGAGGTGTGTGCTGACAGAATGGAAAGTCTGAGTGGTGGAAAGAGAGAAGTGGAGGTGTGTGCTGACAGAATGGAAGGTCTGAGTGGGGGAAAGAGAGAAGTGGATGTGTGTGCTGACAGAATGGAAAGTCTGAGTGGTGGAAAGAGAGAAGTGGAGGTGTGTGCTGACAGAATGGAAAGTCTGAGAGGTGGAAAGAGAGAAGTGGATGTGTGTGCTTACAGAATGGAAAGTCTGAGTGGGGGAAAGAAAGAAGTGGAGGTGTGTGCTTACAGAATGGGAAGTCTGATTGGTGGAAAGAAAGAAGTGGAGGTGTGTGCTGACAGAATGGAAAGTCTGAGTGGGGGAAAGAAAGAAGTGGAGGTGTGTGCTTACAGAATGGAAAGTCTGATTGGTGGAAAGAGAGAAGTGGGGGTGTGTGCTGACCGAATGGAGTGTATGAGTGGTGGAAAGGTAGAAGTGGAGGTGTGTGCTGACAGAATGGAAAGTCTGAGTGGTGGAAAGAGAGAAGTGGATGTGTGTTCTGACAGAATGGAAAGTATGAGTGGGGAAAGAGAGAAGTGGAGGTGTGTGCTGACAGAATGGCTAGCCTGAGTGGTGGAAAGAGAGAAGTGGAGGTGTGTGCTTACAGAATGGAAAGTCTGAGTGGTGGAAAGAGAGAAGTGGAGGTGTGTGCTGACAGAATTGAAAGTCTGAGTGGGGAAAGCGAGAAGTGGAGGTGTGTGCTGACAGAATGGAAAGACTGAGCGGTGGAAAGATAGAAATGGAGGTGTGTGCTGACAGAATGGAAAGTCTGAGTGGTGGAAAGAGAGAAGTGGAGGTGTGTGCTGACAGAATGGAAAGTCTGAGTGGTGGAAAGAGAGAAGTGGAGGTGTGTGCTGACAGAATGGAGGGTCTGAGTGGGGAAAGCGAGAAGTGTAGGTGTGTGCTGCCAGAATGGAAAGACTGAGCGGTGGAAAGATAGAAATGGAGGTGTGTGCTGACAGAATGGAAAGTCTGAGTGGTGGAAAGAGAGAAGTGGAGGTGTGTGCTGACAGAATGGAAAGTCTGAGTGGGGAAAGAGAGAAGTGGAGGTGTGTGCTGACAGAATGGAGTGTATGAGTGGTGGAAAGAGAGAAGTGGAGGTGTGTGCTGACAGAATGGAAAGTCTGATAGGTGGAAAGAGAGAAGTGAAGGTGTGTGCTGACAGAATGGAAGGTCTGAGTGGGGGAAAGAGAGAAGTGAAGGTGTGTGCTGACAGAATTGAAGGTCTGAGTGGTGGAAAGAGAGAAGTGGAGGTGTGTGCTGACTGAATGGAGTGTATGAATGGGGGAAAAAGATAGAAGTGGAGATGTGTGCTGACAGAATGGAAAGTCTGAGTGGTGGAAAGAGAGAAGTGGAGGTGTGTGCTGACAGAATGGAGAGTCTGCGTGGGGGAAAGAGAGAAGTGGAGGTGTGTGCTGACAGAATGGAGAGTCTGAGTGGGGGAAAGAGAGAGGAAGAGGTGTGTGCTGACAGAATGGAAAGACTGAGTGGGGAAAAGCGAGAAGTGGAGGTGTGTGCTGACAGAATGGAAAGACTGATACGTGGAAAGAGAGAAGTGGAGGTGTGTGCTTACAGAATGGAAAGTCTGATTGGTGGAAAGAGAGAAGTGGGGGTGTGTGCTGACCGAATGGAGTGTATGAGTGGTGGAAAGGTAGAAGTGGAGGTGTGTGCTGACAGAATGGAAAGTCTGAGAGGTGGAAAGAGAGAAGTGGAGGTGTGTGCTGACAGAATGGAAAGTCTGAGAGGGGGAAAGAAAGAAGTGGAGGTGTGTGCTTACAGAATGGAAAGTCTGATTGGTGGAAAGAAAGAAGTGGAGGTGTGTGCTGACAGAATGGAGAGTCTGCGTGGGGGAAAGAGAGAAGTGGAGGTGTGTGCTGACAGAATGGAAAGTCTGAGTGGGGGAAAGAGAGAGGAAGAGGTGTGTGCTGACAGAATGGAAAGACTGAGTGGGGAAAAGCGAGAAGTGGAGGTGTGTGCTGACAGAATGGAAAGACTGATTGGTGGAAAGAGAGAAGTGGAGGTGTGTGCTGACAGAATGGAAAGTCTGAGTGGTGGAAAGAGAGAAGTGGAGGTGTGTGCTGACAGGATTGAAAGACTGAGTGGGGGAAAGAGAGAAGTGAAGGTGTGTGCTGACAGAATGGGAAGACTGAGTGTTGGAAAGAGAGAAGTGAAGGTGTGTGCTGACAGAATGGAAAGTCTGGGTGGTGGAAAGAGAGAAGTGGAGGTGTGTGCTGACAGAATGGAGAGTCTAAATGATGATGAGATTCACCAAGAGACAAGTAAGGAAATGGTACAAAGTTCAGACGATGATAAGATGGAAAGACAAAAGGAAATACACCAGCCAGTTGATATAAATGAATGCCTGGTGAAATATGTTGTTGTTATGTATGATAACATACCATATCCTGGTTATGTTGATGATATGGAGCTAGATGAAGTTTTTGTGGAATGTGTGCATAAAGTGTGAAAGCAGAGGAATGCAAATCGTTTCTTCTGGCCAGACAAATGCTGGTACCATTTTGAGGACATTGTTAGCTTGGTACCAGAGCCTTCCAAAATAACACTGTCCTCTCACTATTGTGTTGAGCCTTCTTCGTGGGAAAATATTTTGGAAACAATTCATGGCAAACAATAACCTGTGTTTATATGTGCACATGAATGAGGTCAAGAATGATTTACTGAATGTTCTCATATAATGCTCTTATTTGGTAAAAGTGCAAATATGTTATCAGACTTTGTGCTGTTACTAATGAAGTTTTGAAAGATGACCATTCTCATTTCCTTACAGTTTTTTGCTTGGAATAAGCTACAGTAACCTAAAGAAGTGTTACTAAGGTTGTGACACGTGAAGATTCCGGGGTAGAATAGGTCTTCAGTAACCCATGCTTGCCTTAAAAGGTGACAATGCTTGTCGTAAAAGGCGACTAACGGGATCGGGTGGTCAGGCTCGCTGACTTGTTTGATGCATGTCATCAATCCCAATTGGGTGGATCGATGCTCATGACATTAATCACTGGATTGTCTGGTCGAGGCTCGATTATTTACAGACCGCCGTCATATAGCTGGAATATTGCTGTGTGCGGCGTTTAACAACAAACCAACCAACCAATCATGACTTCGGTCGATTGAAGGTGGTTATGAAACTTAATATCTCGCCCTAACACGGTATGATAAATTTCCTTTCAAAAAGTTAATGCAGTGTTAAAATGGTGGCTAAATGGACAATCTCAATCGAGTCAAATTCGTGAATGAAAAGGATTGAAATGATGAATATATGTACTTACATTGAAAAACGACAAGGCAAGCATTAAGCTAAGCTCCATGTACGGATATCGGGCAGGTTTCTCTCCTAGTTTTTCCATTGCAGGTGAAATACAGCGTGCTGCTGTGTGACGGGACAGCTGGTGACTATCATACAATTGCAAATAATTAGGCCTGAGCAAATTACCTTTTTGCCCATATTTTTCAGACGTAATAGATTCGCATTTATCTCTTTGCGTTCGCTCCTTATTCTTATTATCACAGAAAAAATGAAAAATGCAGAAATGACTAAATGGGGGGGGGACATGCTGCGAACAAGAAATATATTGTGACTGTTATACACCAAATTAATGTGACATGATTTGGTTTGTTTGTTTGTTGTTTAACGCCGCACTCGGCAATATTACAGCTATATGACGGCGATCTGTAAATAATCGAGTCTGGACCAGACAATCCAGTGATTGACATCATGAGCATCGAGCCACGTAATTGGGATTGATGACATGCATCAACCAAGTCTGCGAGCCTGACCACCCGATCCCGTTAGTCGCCTTTAACGACAAGCATAGTCGCCTTTTACCCGAGACCCGTGAAGATCCGGGTTAGAATAGGTCTTCAGCAACCCATGCTTGCCGTAAAAGGCGACAATGCTTGTCGTAAAAGGTTGGTTGGTTGGTTTGTTGTTTAACGCCGCACTCTGCAAAATTCCAGCTATATGACGGCCGTCTGTAAATAATCGAGTCTGGACCAGACAATCCAGTGATTAATATCATGAGCATCGATCAACGCAATTGGGATCGATGACATGCATCAACCAAGTCAGCGAGCCTAACCACCCGATCCTGTTAGTCGCCGTTTACGACAAGCATAGTCACCTTTTACGGCAAGTATGGGTTGCTGAAGACCTATTCTAACCCGGAATCTTCACGGGTTGTCGTAAAAGGCGACTTACGGTATCGGGTGGCCAGGCTCGCTGACTTGGTTGATGCATGTGATCTGTTGGTATACTATTTTAATGACGTAGAACACATCAGGGTTACATACAAAAGTAAGAATGTGTGCAGTTATAACGGAAAAGGATTACTCTCGTAACATCCCCCTTTTCTTCCAAAAGTTAAGTAATATTAAAATACTGGTATATTGTGGCAGATAGGTTGAGAATAATGTACAGATTAGTTTCTTTTAAAAAGTCAAACTGCTTTATAAAACTTAACATGTTAACTAAGTAAAGTCTCTGTGGAATGTCTCTGAAATTCCTATAGACAAAATACCATACTGAGAACACAACAATGCTCTTTTTGCGTTTGAAGTCAAAATGAAACACTTCACAAATCGTGCTCATTCCTTGGCACAATTAGTAGGTAACAAAGTCTTTCAGTTTGGTTGGTGGTTTGACTGCTCTTGTCCTGGTGGTCTTGATGCTTTCCTTAAGGAAGCTCTGCTGGTACTGGTGGCGATGAAGGAGGTGGTTTCACAACAGGCGATGTCTTGGCAGCAGTTGTCTTTTTCGCTGTTATGTGAGAATCTGGTTCAATTTCACAAGTAACTTCCGGCAACTGTTTTGGCGGTGTAGTTTCAGACGTTGATCTAAGAAACTTGCGATTGCACCTGTACTCTTTACCATCAATGTCAACAATGTATGACCTTGTCGACACTTGTCTGACGCAAGTCCCGTGATGCCATTTACCCGTTGTGTCTGAAGGCACTGGTTGAACACGTACTGGTTGACCAACTGTGAGTTCAGGTAGTTGCTTAGCATGACTGTCGTAATAGAGTTTAGCCTTTCTGTGCTTGAGGGCTTTCTTGGAACTGACACTGTCAACAACCTCAGGTTTCAGAAGTTGTGTAGCAACTGGGAGAGTATAATTCTTTGTACAGGGCTACTGTCCATACCTTCAGTAGGGGTATTACGCCATTCCAGGATTGCTTTCCATGGGTTTTTGCCTTCTCGTTGTGTCTTTTTGATCAGATTCTTTGCAATCTTTACAGCTGATTCGGCCTTGCCGTTTGACTGACTGTGATAAGGCGATGTTGTGACATGGCTAAATTCCCAGTCCTTGGCAAACTGAGCAAACTCTCGTGATGTGAGTTGTGGACCGTTATCCGACACTACGGTATCTGGTATGCCATGTCTGCTAAACTGTGCCTTCATACACTCAACAACAGATGTGGAAGTTGTGTTTGTCAGCTTGTCAACTTCCCAGTAGTCTGAATGATAGTCTACTTGAACAAGATATTCCTCATTATGTAGAGTGAAAAGATCCACACCAATCTTACTCCACGGACGTTCAGGCACTTCATGTGACACTAAGGTTTCCTTCTGCTGTTTGGGCCTCATCTCTGAACACACTGTGCATTGACCAACATGGTCTTTAATGTCTACAGTCATATTTGGCCAATATACAACATCACGTGCCCGGCTTTGGATGCATGCTTCGGCTTCAAGATGGCTTCCATGAAGGCGCTGAAGCATTTCACTTCGCATTGCTGGCGGATTCACAATTCGTGATCCTTTGAAGAGAACACCATTCTGAACACTCATTTCCTCTCGGAATGTCCAGTAGTCTCTGACACACACTGGAGTGTCCTCACGTTGTTTTGGCCAGCCGGCTAAGATGGTGGACTTGAGAGTCTGGAGATTGACGTCTTGTTGAGTGAGACGCTGAATTTGATCGAGGCGCTGATCTGTGACAGTGATACATTCTGCAGCGTTGATATTCTCCAGTTCACTGATGAAGGAAATGTTCTCCGAAACAGCAACGATTTCATAGTCTTTCAAAGTCGGCTCTATCTTCCTGAGTGGAAGTGAGGCTCGCGACAGGAAATCTGCAATGTACATCTCTGTGCCCTTCTTGTAGCGGACATCAAGGTGGTACTTTTGCAGACGTAGTATCATTCTCTGTAGCCTTCTGGGAGAAGAGAGAAGAGATTTCTTGAAGATAGTCTCAAGTGGCTTATGATCGGTTTGTACATTGATCAGCTCACGACCGTACACATATTGATCAAAGTGTCACAGCCGAACACCACAGCTTAGCATTTCTTCAATTTGTGCGTATCGCTGCCCTGTAGGAGTAAGGGATCTGGATGCGAAGCACACAGGTTGACCATTTTGAAGCAAGGTTGCACCTAGCCCTACTTCACTTGCATCTGCTTGTATGTTCACTTCTTCACGCACATCATAGTATCTGAGCACAGGAGTGTTACTCACTAAAGTCTTGATGTGCTCAAATGCAGCTTCATGCTGTGTTTGTCAACACCATACTGCGTCATTGTCCAGGAGACGTCGCAGAGGTTCACAGGCATCTGACAAACAACGTAAGAATTTCGCCAGATAATTGATGAATCCAATGAAGCATTGAACAGCTTTCTTGTGAGTTGGCTTGGGCATCTCTGTGATAGCACACACTTTGTCAGGGTCAGGTTTGAGACCTTCTGCTGTTAGAAGATGACCAAGGTAAGGTATTGCTGACCTCCGAAGTCGTAGTTTTGTCTTGTTCAACTTCAGGTTGATTGATGTGGCTCTTTGCAGTAGACTGATGAGATTTTGGTCATGATCTTGTGTGGCCTCTTCAATTGTGTCTCCACAGCCAAACACAAGAATGTCATCATGAATTACATCTACACCAGGTAAACCTTCCAGAACTTCATGCTGACGTCTCTGATATTCTTCTGGGGCTGTTGCGATGCCAAAGTATCGTCCTAGAGGAGTCCAGGAGGTAGTTAGGTAGCTACTTGTTTCATCCAGTTCTACTTGCCAAAATCCATCTTTGGCATCCAATGTTGAGAAGACTTTGGCTGTTCCAAAACGAGGAAGCACTTCATCAATTGTAGGAATCTGGTAGTGTGAACGTTTCAATGCCTTATTCAAGTCTTTTGGATCCAGGCATATGCGAATCTTGTTTGGCTTCTTCACAACAACCATACTGCTGATGCAGTCAGTTGGTTGAGTCACTTTTGCCAACACACCTTTGTCAACAAGTTCATTGATTTTTTTCTTCACTTCACTTTTCATATCGACGGTGTTTCGACGAGGTTGATGCTGTACAGGTTTAACTGTTGGATCTACATCAAGATGGTAGGTTCCTGGCAAGCAGCCCAGTCCTTGAAACACATCACCATACTGGTTCATGACTTGTTCAAAGGTCAGAGGAGTAGCTTCACTGCTCACACTGTGAATGCTGTCATCAACTGTGACTGTCATCAATCCTAAAGACTCACAAGTTTCAGCTGATAGCAGTGGCTTCTGTGCACCCTCAAGGACTTGAAATTCCAGCACATGAACCTTGCCTTTTACCTTGCACTGAAGTGACACTTTACCAAGGGGTTTCATTGATGAACCATTATATAACTTGAGCTTTGCGTTGCTCTCTTCGATTACAGGGTTTCCATCTTGAGCAATGTAGCTCAAATCTTTGTAGCTGACAAGATTGCATGTGGAACCTGAATCTAGTTGACATTCAATGTCTTGAATCCACTTGGACCCTGGATAGTGTAAGTTCAGAGAGACAAACCACTGTTTGCCCTTGGATTTCACTGAGCCAACAAAGTGTTCATTGTAGAACACAGCCACATCAGAACTCTCTTCACTGTCCTGATGCACCGTACCGCACAGTCTCTCGTTTTCTGAACTTACACACACTGGCAAAATGGTGTAATTTTTACAGTTAGAACACTGTTTATCATAGGCAGGACACTTGGTTCTGTCTTTCTCGTGTTCCTTTGCACAGTATTTACACTTGATCAGGTCCATTTTCATTTTAGGCTCAGCAGACCTTGACACCTTGTGTGACTTGCTGCGTTTGTCATATTTGCTGTGTTTTCTATGATTTAAGGCATGGACTGTTTCTTCTTTATTTGTAGTGTGCAATGTAGTCTGCATGGCTTGTAACTGTCTTTTTGACACTTTACTGGCTCTACATGTGTCTATAGCATGTTTCAAATCTAGTCCAGATTCACGAAGCATTCTGGCTCTAGCACCACTATCTTTAGTACCCAGAACAATTCTATCTCTCACAAGATCATCACGTAATTGTCCGAAATCACATGTGGATGCAAGGTGTCTTAACCTAGTCACATACTGATCAAAAGTTTCTGACTGTTCCTGATCTGCAGTGTTGAACACATAGCGTTCATAAATCACATTTCTAGCTGGCTTAAAATGTGCCTCTAAGCTGTCTAAAATGGCTTTAGCTTTCTTTCTATCTTCTTCAGATATATCAAGATGTTGATAAACTTTAAAGCATTCCTTGCCCATAAATGACAATAAAGTTGCCACGTTAATTTCATCACTTTTCTCTGTCAACTCTGTAGCGACAACGTAATTGTCCCATTGAGATCGGAAAAATGTCCAGTTTCAACATAAATCACCCTTAAAATCCATAGGAGCGGGCACAGGGAAATGACTGGCTGCCAAAGTGTCTCAAACGTACACTTTAAACTTTGAATTCAAGTTTAGGACTTGTTTAACATGGAGCGTTCAAAACATCAATGTTTTAAACCACGTGACTCGTGTGTATGAACGACGAAGTCTAACTGTTCAACTGACGAGTGCTTCGAAGTTTTTTCTTCAATGCAACTGGCCCTCAACAGGCTTTTTATTGATAAATGTTACACTCACGAGTCAGTAAAGTCATTGACAATGGGGTTTAAACCCGAAATTAGCGTTTTGTTTCCGCCAACATCGCTCCACTACTGACACCATGTTGGTATACTATTTTAACGACGTAGAACACATCAGGGTTACATACAAAAGTAAGAATGTGTGCAGTTATAACGGAAAAGGATTACTCTCGTAACATGATCGATCCAAATTGCGTGGATCAACAAACGTTCATATAATTTACATTTGTATTAACATAGGAAAATGTCTTTATAATATATGGACATGTTTTTGATAACAGAATCATTTCTGGTAGATAGAACACTGATAATGTTTTTAACAGATTGTTGCACATGATAACATTCTGGAATTAAATTGTCCCTACTACTTTTATAAAAAGGACAAATTAACAAAAAATGGTATTCATTTTCTATTTCATAGATGTTTCATTTCATACATTAACTAAACGATAACTCTGTGGTTGTATTAAATCGAGTTTTCTGTACATTTAGATTATGGCTTAAACAATGGAATTTACATAAAGCTCTAAAAAGAACTATTTCACATGCTAAAGTAGACAGATATTTTTCTGGTTCGAGTAGTGATTTATAAGATGAATAAACATCAAGGAAAGAAGAATTGGTGATTTTGTAATGCCAGTTTTGGAATTCTATATCTTTACATCGTTGTTTGAATAAAACCATTACGCATTTCATATCGCCGCAATCCTGAGACAACCACGCATATGAAAACCCAGTTTAAAACAATAATTTTCTTATGTAAGAAACCCAGTTAGTTTGACCATTTTCGTCAAATACTTTTAACATATGGTAACAGGCATACGGATATCTTGTTTCATGTGATCTAAGTAGTCGACACCAGTACTTAATACAACGACTGTAATAGTGAACACATAGATCTCCTAGAATTGCATTTGTTGATGTTCTTTTACCAACGGAAAGAACACTTTTAAAGAAATTGCTCTGAACCTCTTCAATGTTTTTTGTCCCCCCGGCATATAATGCGGGGGATATAGCTATTGGCATGTCCGTCCGTCTGTCTGAATCGTTTCCGGAGCAGAACTCCGAAACTGTTAAAAATTTCTTCATCAAAGTTTGTATTTATATCACTTAAGTGGTGAAGTTGTGCCTTTTGCTATTTTGGAATTTTAGACATTTTTATTTTTTTACGTTTCCATGGCAACAAGTTGGACATAGGTTCTATAAGGGTGGTGTTCATTTCCGGAGCGTAACTCAAAAACAGTTAAATACTTTCTTACAAAACTTTGCATGTCTACCAGGCACATACTGAGGTGGTGCCTTTTGCTATTTTGGAATTTTATTATTTTCTTTTTACGTTTCCATGGCAACAAGTTGGACTTGGGTTCTATGGGGTAGAGTTCGTTTCCGGAGCATAACTCAAAACCCATTCAAAACTTTCTAACAAAACTTTGCATGTCTGTCAGACTCATGCTGAACTGGTGCCTTTTGCTATTTAGGAATTTTAGATTTTTTTATTTTGTACGTTTACATGGCAACAAGTTGGACTAAGGTTCTATAAGGGTGGTGTTCGTTTCCGGAGCGTAACTAAAAACTTTTAAATACTTTCTTACAAAACTTTGCATGTCTACCAGGCACATACTGAGCTGGTGCCTTTTGCTATTGGGGAATTTATAAACATTTTTATTTTTTATGTTTCCATGGCAACAAGTTGGATTTAAGTTTTAATATAGGGTGGGTTCACTTATGGAGTATATAACAAATAAACTGTTGAATATTTCCTTGCCAAACATTGCATGTCTATATATAAAGCACATACTGAACTGGTGCCATTTGATATTCAGGAGTTTTAGAAATGTTTATTTCAGAATTTCCATTGCAGCTATTTTGACATGGGCTAAGATTTGGTTTGTTTGGTTGGTTTGTTGTTTAACGCCGCACTCAGCAATATTCCAGCTATATGACGACGGTTGTAAATAATCGAGTCTGGAACAGACAATCCAGTGATTGAGATCATGAGCTTCGATCCACCCAATTGGAATCGATGACATGAGACAGCAAGCCTGACCACCCGATCCCGTTAGTCACCTTTTACGACAAGCATGGGTTGCTGAAGACCTATAATTCTACCCCGGAATCTTCGTGGGGCTAAGAGAAATGTTGGGTCAGTTACCTGGTTTGGGACCATAACGTGTTAAAATGGTCGGGGCATATAGATGACTTTGTTGACTATACGCTTGTTTAGTTATTGTTTCTTGTAATTTGTCATTTGTTTGTGACCTGTGAAGATCCGGGGTA